ACTTTTTTTTATTTTTATTTTTTTAACTATATATAAATTTTATAAATTATAAAATAACTATTATTATATAGCACGTGAGGACTGGAAGATGATCTATTAGCTAGTTATATTCATTAATATTGCAGGAATCCTGCCTTATTAGAATTGATATAACTGGTATAGATTTATTAATTACGTATGTACGTACATATATACGAAGTTGTCTAGCCAATAAAAATATGAAATGCTATATTAAAACTGTATTGAACAGTACAAAAAGATATTGTGTAAAGATTGAAGTTATATTCGTAGATTTCCTAACTTATCTAAAATGTCTCTTCTAAATACTGAAAAGCATTTTAATGTGAGTTTCTCAGATATATATAATAATAAATATAATTTTACTTTTGATATAATTTTATCTAAGCGCAAAGTTTTCTTTTTTATTTCTAATTATATAGAAAATGACTTATACTCTAAATATTAAAAGTTTCAAAGTCATTGCAAGTTGTACTCAGAGAGAGTTAACTATAATATAGATAAATCTAAAGTTAACTTATAGAATAATTACTAATAAACTTTTAATATACTACAATATGGACTATTTTACTATATTGAGAGTACTTATACCATTGATTTTTGTAAATATCATTGATTTATTTTATGGAATTTATACATATTTCATACTCATAATCAATATCGAGATCATGCATATATACAAATTATTTCTAATCAGTATTATATATAATAAAAGCATGCCGTAAAATATTCCCTTATGGTTAATGAAGAAAAAATATAGTATATATATAATATAGGTAATTTTTCATTTGGTGAGTTTTTTATATGTTGTAAATGTGCGAAATATGAACTGGTTCTGGATAATACAACTATACACTACTAAAAACTCAATAAACTACTCTAATCAGAACACTACAACTAATAAAACCCAAACCCTAATATTGGTAAGGCAACGATCGAGGCATGGAAAGACTTGGTCTAAGTAACCAGGGTTAATTGGGTTTTTAGTAATAATGTCAGATTAGAGCTCTGGATTACATTACGAATCTATTATTCAGAATCACAGAATTTGGTCACGAGTTTCTTTTGTAATTATGAATTTTACTTATCGGGGGATTAGTAGAACACACTCTTCTACTCCAAGAACTTAGAAGGTTCTGAACTCTAAGAGTTATTCACAAGTTAAGTACTCTGATTTCTTTAACTTGGAACTTTGAACTCCAAAGTTATCTTTATTCAGGGAAGAGCCTGACGATATATATATCTTTTTTACATATATAATATAATAACAAGAATTCTAACAATAATAACTATTTTAACGATACTAGCTATTCTACTAATTACTGTTATTACTATAATTCAGGTAATCAACATAATCATAACTATATATTTTAAGAATCCCGATGATCCTAATAATACTAACTATTATAACTATTCTGTGAATTCTCGGGATTTTTAGAATTCTTAAAATTTTCAGAATTCGTACTATGTCAGAAACCGCAGTAATTTCGGGAGGGGGATAATTTACACTTTCACAACATATGTATTAAAAAGATCTTGACTATATACTATGGTTACACAACAAATATGTAGAATACTGATATACGCGTAAAAAGTTTGATTATTTCACAGATTCAACTTTCGCTAGTTATAGATCATACCAATACAGAAGAACCTATTGATTATGTCAACATCAATGATGCAGAAGCTAATATAGAGGAACCTGATTATGTTAATACCAATTATACAGAAGTCAATATAGAGGAAAATAACTTATTTAAAGGAAAGAAATTTTTAAACTGGACTGTTTGTGATTCATTTTTAAAAAAATGAAGTAAAAGTAGAGGTTTTAAAGTAATTAAAGATCGCGTATTCAAAGATGGTGATATTGTTCGAAGAAGAACTTATATTTGTAAACACAGAAAAAAGTATGAAGCAAACACTAAGCAACAAACACATACTAAAAAAATTTCATGTTCTTGGCATTTAAATGCATCGAGTCCAAGTAGTAATAATGGTGAAGTTACTGTCAACATATTTGTAAATAAACATAATCATATATTAAATATAGAAAGTATTCAATTTTAACAAGATAAAATTTTTAATCAAGATATATTAGATGATATTAAATTCATGACTGAACACTGTAACATGGATGCTACGGCTCAAAAGAAATTTTTAGAAGGGAAGTATCCCTTACAACCAATTTATAGCAAAGACTTGTATGCTGCAATTCGTAAATTTAGACCTACCAAAGCTCTGTTAAATGATGCAGCAACAATATCTAATTGGATTGACGAACAAAAAAAAAAAGATTCTAGATGGATGGTTGCTAGAGACTGGGATGATGATAATACGTTAACGCGCTTATTTTGGATGACTCCAAGTCAGGTTGAAAACTGGATTCAATATAGTGATTGCATACTTAATGATGTAATATATAAAACAAACAGATAATTAAAGTATTATTTAGATTATCACTATATTTTAGTTATGATACGATTTAGTGCATAAATTGCCGATATTTTTCCAGCGATTTTTTTGTTAAATGAAATTTAGAATTTATAGCTGGAGGTAGTAATAATAGAATTTTATGTACTGATATAATTTCCTGAAAGCTATTTCCTCTATTCAATATTATATAGTGTGATAATTTGCTAAAAATATATACCTCAACTAATCAAATGTTTAACCCTATACGATATCGAGTAAGTAGCCTGTAGAAATAATAACTTTCAGGAAATTAGTGACTTTACCTATTATTATTATTTATCTGTGATTGTTTAAATTTATATAGGTAATTATAGTTAGTGATTATTTAAACTATTATTTATTGTTATTAATTTATGTAATTGTATACTTAATGTTATAATATATACAGGTAATTAAAGCTAAAATATAATACGTAGTAATTATTTGAACAATTATTCTTACCTGTTATTATTATTAATTATTAATAGATATAGTATGGCGCTTTCACTATTTGTTGGGTTTGATAACAACTGACAAAATATATTACTCGCTCAAGGATTGTTAATTGATGAAACCCACGAATCACATGTTTGGCTATTTAATGAAATTGTTAAAGCTACTGGTATGGAACCTGCAGTTATACAAACCAATTCTGACCCTGCTGCTGACTCAGCTGTAAAAGAAGTATTTAAATCAATGTATCCGATTCATTGTGCTTTTCACATAACTCAGAATCTTCACAAAAATCTTCAAAAATCTCTAGATATACAGTATAATCAATTTCTTACAGATTTCTATAAATGTCAAAATAGTTTAGTAAAAGCCACATTTGAAAACAAATTTACAAAATTAGTTCATGATTATCCAAGAGCTAAACCTTATTTAGACAATTTATATAAATCAAAAGAGTACTGGGCACATTCATATACAAGCTTTAAATTTACTGAAGGAATGATTGCAACATCAAGAGTAGAAGCTACAAACGCATGTTTGAAAAAATTTTTATGTAATTCTAATGTGTCACTTAATAAATTAATGCAAGAAATATATCACATGCTTGATCGTCAAGATAAAGAATCTGAATATCAATTTTGGAAGCTCGCAATTCCTTTTATCAAAAGTAATAACTAAGCAAACTTTTTATTTACACGTATAGACAAATGTTGTCAAACATATCTTACTCCAAACATGTTAAAAATGCAAAAAGATGAAATTAACAAATCGGTTTATTACTCAGCACAACAAATTAGTATAGAGAGTCTAAAAAGTATAAATGAGGTAAAAAGTGAATCAGTTATTTTTATATACAATATTATAAATTTAACAAGTTATTTTTTTTCTAGGACAATACTATGATTAATATTAAAGAAGACAATCCTGAAGACCAGTATGCAACTATCCAACAAATGTTAGAAGTAGTTGATGAAAAAAATATAGTTCAAGCATGGTTAATTCAAGTTGAAAATTCATTAACTGCAAACCATTTTATTATATTATTAAGAAACAATACGCATCTTTGTTCATGCCTAACTATTATACGACAAGGAATTATTTGTAGGCACTACTTTCAGGTAATGCTAAACACTAATGCAGCGAAGTTTCATATTCGTCTCATTCCATCCAGATGGTACTATAAAAATATGAATGCCTCACAAGAAACATTTATTACGGCTGACAAATATAAAAGTGAAGAAGCACCTGATTATGCTGTTCCATATCTTTCACCTTTTTATAACCAAGAAAAAGATTTTTTACAAGAAAATCTCAGTCTTCTTAAACAAAAATTAACCTATAGAACATTACATGGTATTTACAAGAAGGCAATAAGTAAAGCGTTATGGTCAAAATCTGAGTCAGATTGCCTCTTAAAGTTGTTGGAAGATTTTGTTCAGGAGTGTGACCAATTAAAAGATAGTTCTAGTGATGATAATCACTCAGATGAATCTATAAGTAAGGAAGAATTTCAACTAAAAAATCCCAAACGACGACAAGGCAGAGGACGACCTCCAGGTACCAAAAGAATTAAAGCGTCACATGAAACATCTCAATCTGGTACTACCAAACAAAAAAGATCTTGTAAAAAATGCGGCGGTATTGGACATTATCAAAAAAATTGTACCGTTGGTATCTAAATCTTTTTTTTTTTTTACATTTTTCTATTACTATTGTTGAAAGTATAAGTAGATAATTTTACTAAGACAATGTTAAAACAATTTGGATTTTTTAGGTCTATAATAATCAAAAGCAAAGATTTTATTAACACTAATTAATGTAAGTTATCTATTAATCTTTGCTACCTTTAGTATAAGTATGGTCATTAATCTTCAGTATTAATTATTGTTGCAGATCATAATAAAATCAGATCATTGTGAAATTTAGAGGTCTCAATTTAAAGATATAAGCTCTAC